CTTTGACATGAATTTCGGGTCAATAAACTTACTTGAAATTATAAATTCCAAGATCTTTGTGTGGTTGAAACACCTTGCCTTCAAATCTCCAAAATCTGCATTTTCTTGTACTCCAATGGTCCAAATCCCGATCATAATGAAAGGGGATTATTGTCCATAATCTAAGTGCCATTTCTTGTGAGATTTCATGCAAGAAATGTGATTCTAGGGATTTTCCAATTTTGAGGTGAATTTTCATACGAATTTTTTCACCATTTTTCTCTTATCCCCCCCCCCCCTTTCCCCCCCCCCCTCCCCCTTCTATAACTTCTATATGGAAGTTGCAAGTGGTTACTTGGGAGTTATGGGTTTGAATTCTAAATTCAAACCAATCCTTCCAAACCTTATAAAATCTTGCGGGTCGGGTCACCCCACATAGGCGACCCATTATCCGTATTTTCCAACAGTCTTGATAAATCTCCTCCGTCTATTAGATCCAAGGGCTCACAAGAAGGCGAAAGAAATACAAATCTCAGTAACATTATTTAGACCAATCATCGGTTGTCACCTCATACATCTCAACTAATACTCAACACAATTACAAAAATGGCCCGGTCTAAGTTACAATTTTAGAGAAACACATTTTCTCCTTCAGGTTTTTTATGCATTTCTAACAAGATGAAATTTTAAGAATATGAAGGACAAACTTAAAAGAGGGGGCAAGACCTCACCTACCAATAGACTACACACATGACAAAGGCTTGATAGGCTAACACAGCAATGCAGATTTAGTTGTGATACATGTCTCACAAACATAAAGTTCACCAAATGCTAGAATAGAACACTTAAATTTATCAGAATCTTATCTATTCCCAATATGCACGTCCTCTCATAAAATTACCTGCATTGCAAGAAGAAGAGTAGAAGTCACAAAAGTTATAATTATGATTTTATTATTATGATTTTTTTAATATTGAATTTTCTCTGATAATCTTCTACTGCCAATGACATTTGAATTGCTACTGCATCTAAATTACTTTTGTTAGGAAATTATTAATTTGCCATGTGGATCAACATATATAATTAATTGTATATAGAGACCATTTTAAAGTTAAGCCCAAAATTAAAGTGGTCTAGTAAATAATTAAGTAATTGGACTTAGGGCATTTAAATAAAGTGCAAGTTGATTATATGTGTAGAGACCGAATTCCTTTAGAATTATATTTCATGATAAGTGAAATGCGTATGCAAACTATCCATAGGGTTATGGTCCCCAATTCATATGCAACTTCTCGTTTTTTGGGTCATTTCATCAACACAAGAATACAAGAAAAAATATATTAAAAAGAAAGATCCACAATTCACAATCAAAAACAGACAATTTACAATCAAGAATCAAGATAAAGGAATTGAAGAAGTAAAACCAAGAACAAGAATCAAAGAAGGCAAAATTCAAGATTGAAAGGAAGAAATCAATCAAGAAGGGATTCCAAGTTAATTTTCAAGACTCAAGATCCGGAATTAAAATTCAGGAATAAAAATTATTCTCAAAGAATTAAGGTATATTTCACTTTAATCAATTTTCTTGATGATTTGACATAGAGGATCTTGGCAGCAAAGTAATTAAATTTTCATGTTATTAAGATTTAAAGTTTCATAAAGTTTAAACAACTACACAGCTATAAGAAATTAAGAAGACTTTGAGCAGAATTTCTTCAACTTTTTAATTGAGTAGTATATGATTTCCACGTAGTTTCAAATTAATATGAATATTTTTACTTCTACCAATCAAGATTAGAGAAACAGAAGAATTCAGAAAACTAGGAAATATGTTAAAGATTTGGAATATTGTCTAGGATTATTTCTCTTAATAATTGATTGTGTAATTATTACACAATCTTTCCATTTTAGGTTATTTCCTTTTATTGATATTTATAACCTATAAATATGGTTATTTTCTTTGTAATATACACAAGACCCCATTAATAAAATTCATATTTCTTATCATAGTATCGAGAAGGTTTAACTTGGTCTTGGTTAAATTTGCAAACTATCACCCTCCGGCGAGCGGCATCAAATTTTTTGCTTCGTCCAACCAAATTGTTTTTCTATTATTTTTAGCTACCATCCTCCTGGATCTGGAATTACGTGGAAGGCTTACAATTTCCCTGCGTTTTTGCTTCCCAAGACTAGCACCTCGATTATGCAAAAGTCACGCAGACAACAAAAATTTTGGAACTCATGATTCAGAGACTTGTCTGCTTCTGGCTGGATACACTGTGTGATCAGCACTTCCATCTATTAATATTTCATGTTTACAAAAATCAAAGCCAGTCATGTCAACTATGATATCAATGGAGTCACCATATTCTTTTTCATGACAAAAGCCTTGGTGCAGAGTCCCATGTGTTTTCTGTTCACTGTCCAGTGTGGCAGAATTTGCTCAGAACAATTTTTTCTGGTAAAATTTCGTCAGGGTTTTGAGCCTTCAACAGATTTTAGCCCTTGTTTGATCCCCATTTTTTCAAGAATGTATTTTTTTAAAATTCATTTTCAACTACACATTTTTCTATAAAATAATTATACACGAATTTCAAAAAATTTTCCTTACTTTTTAACCACACATTTTCAAAAAATTACTATTTCAAAATTCATTTTATACCAAAAATGGGAATCAAATAGGGGCTAACGTCTATTTCAATAACTAGAATGAGTCCGTTCTATTTTCATGTTTTTAATTTTTCGAACTTCTTTAAAAAAAAAAAATTGTTTCGTTGCCCTTTTTTTTGGGAAATTAATTCTGTTTTATTTAGAGGGTTGGTAACCTGAATTTTATCGGCTCTCCTCTTGCCTCTTAAACAAACTAGAGGTTTTAAAAAAAAAAAAACAAAAACAAAAAGCAAAAAAACTTTGGAGGATCGGTACCTTGAATTTTACCGGCTCTCCCTCTATCTCTTAAACAAACTAGAAGTTTTTAAAACAATAAACTTTGGAAGATCGGTACCTTGAATGTTACCGACACTCCTCCTGCCTCTTAAAAAAATTAAGGGTTTTCTTATGTTAAAAAAAATAAAAATAAAAATAATTGAAGATTTGATTGGTTCAAACTCAATATTCTACACCATATTGAGTTTGAAGAGAGAGTGTTAAAAATTTGGAATATTGTCTAGAATTATTTCTCTTAATAATTTATTGTGTAATAATTACACAATCTATTACATTACCAAGATGAAGGATCTTCTTATCACGAGTAGGACAAGGTAAAGGAGGCATTTCCTCCATCAAATTCAGTTGAAGGTTATGAGTAAGATAAGCCTGGAACGTGTTGTATTCATGCCCACTAGAAATCATGCTTAGTTGCAAGCCTTTCAGTTGTGCTACCTAGAAGTTTTGGGGATATTTCAGTGTATATATCCAACTACGAAATATAATTTACAATTTTCTTAGGCACGAAAACCGTTTTCAGAATTCTTCGAGTCAGTTAATGCAGACGCTATCTATTAGGCTAAAAAAAAAAAATTGTAATTGTACTGTCAATAAAATCATTAGGACCTAATGTCTTTATCCCATTTTCAACCGCTTTTGTTTGCAATTGTTTCTTGATTTTATAGCTGCTGTACTTCTAATGATTTCTTTTTTCTTCACTTTTGTTAACTAGGCTTACCTTCACTCTAAGGCACTTGCTCCGGCTGAATTTCCTATCGACAATGCACGTTTGAAAAGAATTAATGGAAATCGTCATTAAATTTTAAAAGGGCAAAAAATTAAACGATAATAGACTTATTTGTTAATAAACTACCAACAATATTACGAAATTAAGTATTAGTTACCCTCTTCTACTAATGCTCAGTTTTAGCAAGTATCAGTTCTTGCTGTCTGAGTGAAACAATAACCATCAAGGATTAATACAAGAAGAGAGAAAGGATTGTGTATATAAGGTACGTGTGTTTATGTCTAACTATACCCTTGACGGAGGAACATACAATTGCATATATGACTAATTGTTTACCTTTTTAGATCTGATTCTAGTTATGCCTCGTTCGGGCCTGCTTTCCAGCTACTTTAAGTCCTTCACATTCAAAGATCCCAAGCCTTTTCACCATGAAATGCCTATGAAGATTACAAACTTTTACTTTTGTTAAACAGGATATCTGTTTAATGGATTGAACAAAAGTTTTGCTACTTGAACATATGATTGATTCAATTAATTCTCAAATTATTATCATATAGACCGAACATTGATCTGATTAGAGCGGCCATTACCAAAACTTGGGGGCTTTGGGAAATGCCAGAGGTTGGTAGTATGGATGCTTCATATGTATTGGTACAAATGAAAAACGAGACTGATTTCCTACACGCTTGGGCGAGAGAGGACAGATTTGTGGCTGGAGCTTCATTCAGATTATTCAAATGGACTCCATATTTTGATTTCCACAGGGAGTCATCTTTGGCTCCCCAATAGATTTACTTACCTGGACTTCCATTGCATCTCTTGACACATCCCATCCTAAGACTTAAGACGTGACGTGAGCAGATGATAAGTGCCAGCTAGGCACTGGACCCATCACCAAGGCAAAAGTAGCTAAACTTTAATAATAAAGCTTCATTTGACCAATTAAAATCTTTCTAAACTCCAATAAAATACCAACATAATACTATCATTTGCTCGTTTAACCAAAAACATCCATAACATATACATCAAAACTGCCTCTCAAAAGGATAATAGAAAGCAGTTTAGATTACAATATTACATCATGATCATTGGTGTATATAAATACCAAAATAATTTTCCTCCAATATGATGTAAATATTTTACTTGATGATTACACAATTTCAAACAAAAGAACCTACAATTGGTGGTAGCAATGGCTGCAAAACTATCAAAATAATCTCCACCATCGCTCAGTCAACAGCCTCCTATAAGGAAAAGTTCAGGAAAATATGAGATAATAATCTCAGTGAGTGAAGTGCTTAATAGATGGTTGTACTGTCCACAAGCTGAACTGTAAGCGGGAAAAATGTAAGCTGAAGACTAATAATCCACTATATAATTAAAATTCACATCAAAATATAGATCCCACGTAAACATCTACTAATGATCTGAAAGCCATAAATCATATGTACATAAACCGTCTGATCAATATTCTGTACACGGCCGTAGCCCCTCAGTGAACAAGATGGGAATAACATAATCATCATTATACACGGCTGTAGCCCCTCAGTGTATAATGGATAACTTTACCCACGGCCATAGCCCCTCAGTGGATAAGAGTTACCCTTACACACGGCTGTAGCCCCTCAATATATAATGGATAACTTTACCCACGGCCGTAGCTCCTCAGTGGATAAGAGTTAAATACATGACTCTAATACACGGCCGTAGCCCCTCAGTGCATTAGAGTAAGATAATCACATCAATTATTTTATGATAATTCCAAAACAATCATACTCATTTACTATTTCTCGAAAATAAAGCATTCCATTTAATTAACATGCTTCTATAAAATAAAAAGAAAATCTTCTTTTTGAAAATATAGATTCTTCACTCACAAGTATAGGCTGGACTAACGGGGCTGATACGCTGTTCCCACGTCACGTCCAAATCCCCTCCTGAAGCGATCATAAAGATAAGCTACTTTAATTCCATCCATATACAATTACAAGGGATTTCTCAATAATAACTCTTTCTTATCATCAAAATAAAATAAAATATATATATCCCTCAATAAGCTGAGACATAATATTTATCTTTTTATTTGGTTACTTAAACATACGTTCACTTAATTTTGAATCACTCTACATCCCTCACTCTTTAATACTAACCTTTCCCGGCTGCCCCGTAAAAATTCAATAAGTTTTTTATGATAATAATCATCCACATTCCTTATTTAAATTCTCTTTTAACTAAATACATAAATCTTATCAAAAGCTCCTTTCTTTAATATTTATCTTTTTATTTGGTTACTTAAACATACGTTCACTTAATTTTGAATCACTCTACATCCCTCACTCTTTAATACTAATCTTTCCCGGCTGCCCCGTAAAGATTCAATAAGTTTTTTTTTATGATAATAATCATCCACATTCCTTATTTAAATTCTCTTTTAACCAAATACATAAATCTTATCAAAAACTCCTTTCTTATATTTTCCATATTCATCCAAAGTGAGAATTCAAGCATAAAATAAGTTATTTTCAACTAATCTAACTTAATAATACCATAAAACAATCACAAGTGAAAATAACAAAAATTCATATATTTCCCCAAATTTTCGGATTTAGCCATATATGACAAAACCCTAATATCTAAATATCATTTTTTCCAATCTACTAGAATAACTAGCTCCAAATACTCAAATATTTAGATTTCTTATCATATTTTTCAAGTATAAGCTATAAATTTAAAACCCTAAACAAAATTTACAAAAACTAAATCAATAATTATTAACCTTACCTCTTGAAGAATTAAATAAACAAGATTAAAGTAGTTGGCACAAGATTTCTTCTTTCTTTTTTCTTTTTCTTCATTTCTTTTTCTTTTCTTCCCTTTCTTCTCTTCTCTGCGTTTCCTCCCGTTCAACACACTTTAGTGTGTGATTTTTGTGGAAAAGAATGGTCAAAGTTTGAATATAAATGCCACTTGTTCAAAATTGCTAAGGAAGGTCCCTATTCTTTAATAGAATATAACTTTTAAATTCTAAACTTCCAAATATATATAAGTAAATTCTCCACTTTAAATTGTAGCCAATTTAACCCTCATATATGGCCAATTATAAAATAAATCCCAATAAAATATTTAATTTCATTTTAGTCTTTAATTGACTTTGACTTTGACTTTGACTAGTCAATATTTGAATTTTGACTAGAAAAATTTGGGTTGTAACAATCTTACCCCCTTAAAAGAATTTCGCCCTCGAAATTCAGCTGGCAACTGATTAGGCAATGAATAAATGAGGATATTGAGCACGCATCTAATCCTCATTCTCCCATGTAGCCTCTTCTACTGTTTGATTCTGCCAAAGTACCTTAACAAGTGAAACTGTCTTGTTTCGCTGAATTTGCACCTTTTTGTCTAAAATTCTCAATGGCTCTTCTGTGTAAGCCAAATTGTCCTTCAACTGAACTGGTTGAGACTCTAGAACATGAGAAGGATCTGCAATATACTTACGAAGCATGGAAACATGAAAAACATCATGGATTCGAGATAATTCATTCGACATATCTAATCGATATGCAACTGGCCCAATCCGCTCAGTAACCTGATAAGGTCCAATATATCGTGGACTTAACTTTCCTCATTTGCCAAATCTCAACACTCCTTTCCAAGGTGACAATTTCAAAAAGACTTTATCTCCAACTGCAAATTCAAGATCTTTCCTGCGCTTATCTGCATAACTTTTATGTCTGTCTTGTGCTATTTTCAAATTTTCTCTAATCAATTTCACATTTTCTGAAGCCATTTGAACCAAATCAGGGCCCACTAACTTTCTTTCACCAACTTCACTCCAACATACTGGTGTT